TGTCTCAAACTCAAGCTAGTTAATGCAAGTTATGATCTATATTGACCGAAAAAAAAATTCACCCAATTGAAGGGAGTTGAGGTATGTGAAAGATTGATCAGGTACCAATCTATCGCTGAATTGAAAAAAACCACTCTAATGGATTAAGAAAAATTGTAAGTTGAAGCCGGGATGGCGAAATCCGTTATCTGTTTTTGATGATGTGATTATGTGAAGATTGATTCCATAACATGTGCTCAATCCACGAGCGCAAGTTCTTTGTGAAATACTAAACCCATCACATGCGTGATGATAGGGAAAAAAATCACGAGTTATGACATTTGAATGAACGAAAATGAAAAGATGTTTTTCCCCAACCTTGAAATTGTCCCCATTTTGCCACGTGGGGATAATTTAGAATTTGATTCTCACCTCGACGACAGCAATCGTGCATCCAAGTTTGTCGCTCCGCGTGATAGCGCAAAACAGATTTAGAAGTTAAACCAATGACTTCTCTTTGAAATTGGAAGTGTCTTATTTTCAATATGACTAGCCTTTCTATGCTTATCTTATCATCATGTCGTTCAGTTGAGTAAAGCACGCGACTGATTAGAAGCTCCGCTCTGCGAGGACATGGAAAGACAATAATTAACGATTTAACAAGACAAATGAACCTGAACGTTACGCGGAAATAAATGATAAAAAGAGAAAACGGATAATCCCACGCCATGTCGGGTGACTCTCTCTATTGTTCATAAAGGACTCGTAGGAGCGTAAACATACGTACACGAGAAAGTTTTCTGTACGAAATTCATAACAAGTAATTACCACTAGATAGGCAATGTTTAGGAGGATAGAGTTTTCTGTTTTACGTTTCTATTTTAATGTGCCATCAGATTCGGTAATTCCAAATTTGATTCATGTCGTGATTCCTCATTCTTCATCCCGACCTCTTTTATGTCATTTCAGTTGCTTCGTTCTTACATACCAAACAGACCCTTATGGTTTTCTAGTGTAGTTATGGGCAATTTGTTTTCTTGTAAGAAATTTTTTGCCTCTTGGAATAAATGTTGATGGAGTAGAGTTTTCTCTATCTTGCGATTTGGCTGAATTTAGGTGCTCACGTGATGGTGTTAGGGGAAGTAGACATGGCCACGATTTAGGAACCGCCGGTTCCGGTTCGAAACTGGCGGTTCCGGTTCGTGGCCATGTATGAACCGGAACCGAAACAACAAGGGGGCGGTTCCGCTCCGGTTCCGATTTCGGCCGGTTCCGGTTCGTAATTTAAAAATTAATAAAATAAATTATAAAATAAAAATTGCAGGCCTGGTCCTCTGTCGGTCGTCGCTCGGGCTTCGCGGCCTTAGCCATGGTGGCGGAGGCGGGGTTCAAGGCGGCGAGGAGATGAAGCGGGAGACGGGGGCGGTGGCAAGGGGGAGAAGGAGGGGGCCGGGAGGGGGAGGGGGACGAGGACGGGGAAGAGGAGCGGGGGGTCCTCCTCCTCCTGGGGCTGGGCGGGGTCGGGAGGAGGGGAGGAGGAGGGGCCGTCGGCAGCTGCGGCCATGGGCGGCGGCGGCGGCGGCGGGGGTCAGATCTGGGGAGACGGGGGGCGGGCGGAGGAGAAAAGGGGGGGAGGCGCAGGGTAGCAAGGGGGGAAGAGGAGGGGGTGTCGGTGACGGCGGCTGCGGCCATGGGCGGGGACGACGGCGGCGACGGCGGCAGGGGTCAGATCTGGGAAGACGAGGGGCGGGCGGAGGAGAAAAGTGGAGGACCGGAGGAGGCGCAGGGAAGAGGAGGGAAGGAGGGATTTGGAGGAGGAGGATCGGAGTCTGGAGGAGGTGGGCATGGGTGGGGGCCCCAATGTGGGGCTGCAGCTGTGCAGGCTGCACAGTGCAGCAGCATTTTTTTTTTTTGGAATCGGGCCCGAAACTGCCAGTTCCGAGCCGGTTCCAAAATTATTGGAAATGGAACCGGGCCTGTAGGCCACGGGCCGGTTCCGGTTCCAAACCGCGGGCCCGGTCAACTGGCCGGTCCCAAGTTTGACCCGGGCCAGTTCCGGGCCAAAATCGGCCCGTGGCCATGTCTAAGGGGAACGAAGTTTCACATCGGAGAGACGTGACGAAGGCAACGCTGTCAACGTGAATTTTGAGGAAAATGCATCTACTCCATAGACCAGCAGTATAGGAACTCGGAGAAAATCTCCGCGGCAGCACAATATATGATTTCGTTGATAGATTTAATTGAGGAAACTCATCGAAGAAAGGCATCTTATTTCGCATCTAGAAGATGTATATCGATAGCTATTTCGCACGACTTATTTGTGTTTCTTCGGAGAGTGTATGCATCTTCCACCTTTTTTTATTTTTATTTTTGGTGCATCCATGTACTAGAAATACTGCATTGGTAAATAATAGTGGAAATGGTGCATATACATTATTGGGTCTTGTTTGGTTTAATTAATAAGAAATTAATAATTGAATTCTCGTTCCCTGAAATTACATTCCATTATTTTTATTTTTTTAATTATTGGTTTAATTTTAATGTGAATTTTTTGTTTTATCGTTTAGCAGGTAATCGTTGCCTCGTCCGAAACCATGCTGCTGCCACAAATGCACCACTGCCTCCTTGCCACCTCAAATGCATATCGCCGCCACCAGCATGCCGCTACCTCAACTACACCACCACCAGCCCACCGCCACCGGCCACCACCAAATCACTCACTGCGCCCATGTTCAACCTCCCCGCCTCCCCGATCTCCTCCACTACGCTGCAATTCTCCAATCACGACCGCTGCTTTCCATCGCTCCTACTTGGCATGACTGCCAAGCGTCCACAAAGGCAGTGGCGACAACGGCGGCGGTGGCGACAACCGCTACAACGTGGCGATGGTGAGTGGTTGCAAAATGTGGTGGGGGTTCGTTGTTCCATAGCTTTGTGGTGGTCGAGCATAGTTTAAAGGTGGAATTACAATTTCAGTACCAGATGTTGCTACGTAAGGTAATTTCACATTTCTTGAGAAATCTTATTCGACAAGAAATGCAATTCCATATTTTCGCCATCCCCAAAGGCAATGGCGACAACGGCGGCGGTGGCGACAACCGCTACAACGTGGCGATGGTGAGTGGTTGCAAAATGTGGTGGGGGTTCGTTGTTCCATAGCTTTGTGGTGGTCGAGCATAGTTTAAAGGTGGAATTACAATTTCAGTACCAGATGTTGCTACGTAAGGTAATTTCACATTTCTTGAGAAATCTTATTCGACAAGAAATGCAATTCCATGTTTAATATTTTCCCCATACACAGTAATCTCAGTATTTGGATTCCATTCTTCGAGTAATTCGATTCCACGGAGAACCAAACGAATAGAAGAGGGACATTCCTCGGTTGCTAGGCTCGTGTTTCTCATTATAATTTGGATATTACTCATCAATTTTAGAATCTAGTAATCTTAGCTAGCATTGTGCCTTTGCTGGTCACCTAAGTTGCACGCACATTTCACATATAGCCACGCCTTTGTCTCGTTTTTAACAACAAGAATCTGAAGAGATCCACCAGAGTAAAGAAGGACCATTTTGACGAATCATCAAGTCCATAGCTTTCCCTTGAAAAAGGGAGTCGATGGAGCCATCATCCTCTGCGGTGACCGTGGATGCTTTCTTCACTCCCTTACACATCACCATAATTTTGATCCCTAAGCATGTTAGATAAAAAAATTGTGTGTACAGATTAAGCATACGACATAAGTTTGATTTCTTGCATCCTTAAATGTATGAAGGAGCTTTGGTTGAATTGCATCTAATTGATATCGTCGTTTGGACGTGAAGCTAAATGATGTCGTGAAAAAGATCATATTTGAAACACTAAAAATGACAAGATCCATGTAAGTTTCCCACGAGTCCCACTGGATCTAGCAATCTTAATTTAAGTGAAGGCGCGCGTATGTATGATGGGTTCAATGAATACTCTCAATATAAAAACGAGTAGCGATGAGTGACACTATCACTCGGCCATTGGTCAAAGTAATAGACAAGGGAGGCAGAAACTCATGCAGTTGATGTACCCAATACAATGGGCTCCATGTGCTGGGATGTCCCACACTCGAGCTTGAGGCCCGCTAAGAAGGAGCCATGTAAAACATAGTTCAGACTCATTAAAATTTATATTGAATTAAACTTTGTTACATTATATTCATAACAATTCATTCTTTAAATTTTTGCTAATTCATATGCGATTCAGCTCATTATTTATGAGTTTTTTTTTTGGTTGAACACTATTTATGAGTTAAATAGTAGATTTCTTTTTATCTGTTTTAACGCCTCTAGTGGAAAGAAACCTTTTTTTCTCTTCATTTCAATGAATTAGTCATGTGAATTGCCTCATTAAATCCACGGTAAGGTTGCGTGTTTTCCGAGCACATCTGGCTCATCTTTTAAGGCAAGAGAAAAAGCATTTTCCACTGCAAACACCCTGCAAAAGTTACAGAGTAAAGAAGATGGTTGCGTGGCTCTTAAGGAGTAGCGTCACGCGAAAACTAATTGGGATAATGACATAAACAGTTCATAAATTTTATCTTAATATATAATTTGATCTTTGAATTTTTAATTTATTTAATATAATCCATAAATTTTAACTCGATATTCAATGCGGTCCTTAAACTTTCAATTTATTTAATGTGATCCCTGAACTTTTAGTACATATTCAATATAGTCCCTGAACTATATGAAAATGTACAATATAGTGCCTCCACTTGAATTAATGAAATAAATACATTGAACATTTTTATAAAATTCGGGGACTATATTAAACATATACCAAAATTTTAGGGACCATATTGAATAAATTGAAAATTCAGGGGCCACATTGAATATTGGGTTAAAGTTCAGAGATTATATTGAACAAATTAAAATTTTATAAATCAAATTATATATTAAATTAAAGTTTAAAGACTATTCATGTCATTTTCTCAAAATTTTATAGATCAAATTATATATTAAATTAAAGTTCAAAGACTATTCATGACATTATGACGGATGGCCATATGAATTTTTCTATGACAAGATAAATCTCTGTGAAATGATTATGTTGTGGTGATAATGACGTGATAATTCTTATGCCCATTAAGACAGTGAGACGAGTCATGTTTCCTTAACAGAGGTAAGCAAGTAAACTATCATTTTTCTTCTGAGATTCATATCCAACTTTTCATCACTTTCTTATTTTGACAAGAAGGATTTCCCTGATAGGGTTCTGTACTTCCCTAACTTCCTAGTCTTACATAATTGAAGGAGTGGGGGAGTTGGTCATAGAAGCTGACATGATGCTTCAGCCAAGATCAAAACGTAGATCCAAATGTCAGTCTACGTACATTAGAAGGCATTGGTCAACCGGTAAGATTCTTCTTCCTTTAACGACCAACGTGAGCAAATAGAGTAATATTTTTCTCGAAGCTATTTTTTAAAGAATTATTTGCTCGACAATGGGTATCTATTTGATTTGGCTTGCCTAAATATACTTGCTGTTGATTGCATTATAGCAATGTTTTCTCAATTATTCTTCAATGGCAACTCTTGCAGACAGATTAACGGCTGTAAGGTGACAAATGACAATATTGACATAGGTAAAAAAGAATTACGAAGTGATTTACAGTTTCCCTCACAGTAAACCCAGGATTTAAATTTTTCATCTAGAGGCTGAAGATCTTCTGCTACTTAAAATTGTAACTGCGCCCAAATCCATTTTTTTCTCTCTGTGCCAAACTAGTATTATCCTATAAAAAATCCTTGGCCATGTTTATATCCTTTTGCAAGCTCTTTTACATGTAAAATTTGACTAATGGTAGATATCCTGTTTAGAACATACATCTTTCAGACCCTGTCAAATTTCTTATTGTTCATTTGAGCATGAATTCCCAGTAAGTATGAGAAACTCAGCTAAAATAAAAATCAAGGTTCTAGTTTTTCTGGAGGGTGATTGTAAAAAAATGAAAAGTGATTTTGGCTAACCTGTCATGTATGATTGTAGACCAGCTTTCTATAACCATTAATCAGACTGTCGTTTTGAAAGATTATCAAGCGAGGTAAATTGGTGCTGCTTTTGTGACAGATCTGGTTGGTCTATGAATAATCAAACTTTTGGACTAAGATTCAATGAGCTGTATCAGTGACCTTTTTCATAAGTGGGATAATTTTTTGCCTGTTCTGTGGAACAAACTGGGGCAAGAAGCTCAAGAATTTGCTAATTAGTTTGCATTATTTGATTGTATTGTTGTCATGGAACCATTTTGTCACATGATGCAGAGGAACTTCAAATTCCATACCAGAGACCGATCAAAATGAAGAAAAGCGATTTTGTAGGGGAAGCAACAGCCACAGCTAAGGCCCAGCTTGCATGCCAACCCTAAAGAGGCTCCTGGGCCAAGTGGAGTGTCCTGAGGAAGTTTTGATGTTTGTGAAGATCCAAACACTTGATCTGGTCTCAACAGCACATACCCGAATGATCATGAATTTAGTTTTTTCAATTGAATATGCTTTCTGATGCTCATTAGGTTCCATCTCTCTGTTAATCATATACGTAGCTGCTGAATTTTCTGTATGTTACCCTGATGCAGAGTTACTTGGTGCGGTTGCTTTCTAATGGTGTCACTCTTGAACTTGATCGGGCTCTGTAGAGGGAGGTATGCACTACCAGTCATACCATAACTATGACAGAGTAACTTAGGTGCTTATGCTATATGAATTGTGGAATTTCACCTGAAAATCAGTATACAAGGGTAAATGATGACAATCTCCTCCATTTTCTGAGTTCATAAGTGTGATAATATAGTATAAATGCAAGCAGAATTGAATTTGTAAAGTTGAGATTTGCTTCCTAGCAAACTGTCCCGTATTGCTGATTTTGCTAATTGGATATTGCGAAATAACCAAGTAACATGTACATCTTTCTGTTTTGTAGTTTAGGTGCTTCATCTTTTCTGCACAATCCTATTAACATCAGTTCTGCTCTAAAAACAAACAAGGAAAGTGTTGCTAATTGCTTAACTTCTCACAAGTCGTCGTTTTCTTTTTCATCAGCCAGCTAATGAAGGCTCTGTTGGCTGCGGTCCAACTGCAAACTAATAAGAGACACTTGGAATGTTTGGTATGACATTCACAGATTTTGCTATTGGTACCTTATCTTTCATGGGATAAATTGTGATGATACGATCTCAAATATCTTCATCTATTGATAATTACTTAATCCTATCCTTCTTGTGTAGATTCAAAGCTGCACTTCATGAAATTCGGAGAAAGTCCCTAAACACCACAGGATGGAGATGCAGGCAGGATTGAGCTATGTCATGAGACATTATGCAAAGGCATTCCAAAGTTCCTTGCTATTGCCATTTATTATGTGTTATGTGTTGTTAACACTCTTCATAGGATTCTTGAGATAAAGCGACCTCTTCTCATGTGGTGTAGTAGTCCTTTGCAAGCTTCGACATCGTGCTATCCTTTAGCAAAGGCCGAATCTCAAAATGCTTGCAGGACCAGTATGTGAAGTTAATCATAAAATCAAATTTGTTAACAAGGTTACCGTTTAGATGTCCACTTCAAGCTACAATTTGGTGACTGCAAGAGAAACATTTTTTGTGAAACAAATGTTGTGGAATCGGCAAATAATCTCAAACTTGATTCATTTAAGCATGAATCTATAAAGCAGAAGAGACATAGCCATACATTTCATCCCTGAAACCAAATTTTCTTTGGCGTTGGCTAAATTTGAAGACTGATAAAAAAAACGTCGAGAATATTTTTCGAAGGGTGAAAATAGCCCCTCCCAAAAATTATGATCATTTGGTTAGAACCAAAACGTTGAAGGGCCAATTAATTGGTTAATACTCAGACTCTACTATGCCAAATTGTGGTCACCCGTCATACATTCCAATTTCAAGCGAAGCAGTTTCTTTGGGGCCACTCTCAGATTTTCCCTACCCTGGACTGAAGTACAATGGTGAGAATTAAGCTACTCGCAAGGTATTCACAGTCTGACTTAAGTTGACGAGTCAAAATACTTGTTAAACGGCATCAAATCTATCTTGACTCTTGAGGACTAGCTACATAAGAGAAACATGGAGGTTTTGGTACCTTAAACTAGTACTACTGCTTCTAGTTAAACACTAGCATGATAAAAAGGTCTTTTAACACTTGAGCCATCAAGATGGAAGGTGCAAGAAGTGTAATACATGTCTTGCACTGTTGAGTTTTGCTTAAACAACCTTAGTTTGGCTGAAACAAAAAGACTAAGGAAGGCCAGTTTTATTGCTACGATTAATTACTAGAGCTTTTCCAACACCTACTCAAGGCATCAATCTTGCACCACACACTAGAGAATGTCGATAAAACAATTTGCAGCTCATAAAGAAGTACAATGCCCAAAAGCTCAGAGAAAACCCAGACTAGTGTTGGTGGGTTAATTCCAAAAAAAAGCACCAACTTTAGGTCGAGGGGCAATTCTGGCCCGAACTTTTTTTTGTCCCGTAAAAAAGCACCAACTTTAGGTCGAGGGACAATTTTAGCCCGAACTTTTTTTTGCCTCGTAAAAAAGCACCAACTTTCATTTAAATCACAAATTTGGCCCCTCATTGACTTTCTATCTGAAGTTACCCTTGTTTGAGAAAAAAAGTTATGGTGGTGAGCCTGGCGAATCTCTTCCATGGCGTCTGTTGATGGGCGGTGGTTTACAGCTTCAGATTACGACAAAACGATAAAGTTTGGCCAGAAAGATTCAATCTGGAGATATTTTTGACTTGCCGGTGAAGTGAAGGAGATGAACAGTTTCATCGTTATTCTTCAAGTTGCGGTTCAGAGAATAAGACAATGAATAATGCTTTAAATCCAGTCAGTAAGTCACGTGGATTTATTGCTAAGGTGGAATAGTCAAGTTGGAAAATCAGTGGTTTTAAGTCAATAAGAGCCAGATTTGGGATTTAAGTGAAAGTTGGTGCTTTTTTACGAGACAAAAAAAAGTTTTAGTTCGTTCCCTTTTTTACTTTTAGTTCGTGTCCGTGAATGTTTCGATGTGTCGTGAATTCATCATTCAAAATCCTTTCGTATGTTACCTCTCAATATCGCTTCTTCCTTCTAAAAAACTAAGTCCAGACATTTCATTCCCTTTTATTCTATATTTTTCCCAAAATTATCTTTTATTTTTGGAATATTTCACAAATATTCACTCCGACCAATTTTGCAATTGAAGTTCGCATCCCATTGCACGTGATTTTTGACCCTTTCTAAACATTTAATGTCTTACATTTTTAGGAGGCTCTTTTTTTCTCGGCTTACTAACTTTTCAAGAGTTGAATGATATGCCGACAAAGTTGTGATAAAAAAAAAGACCCAAAAAAAACTGAAGGACAGTACACGGGCATTTCATATATCAGCGATAACTTAATTAACGCATTATGCTCGTTTGGTGTCATCTAACAAATTATAACTTTGTTCTACATACAAGGTATTGATCGATTTTATTTAAATTTTAAAGTTTGAAGATAATTACTCAGTGATATCATATCGCACTAAAGTAGATTTGTTTTACATGGAATTATTAGCATGTGGAGCCAGCGTGGAATAAATGAAAGAAAAAGAACAACGACCAATTGTCCATCTCTACCTCACATTTCCAACTTCATTAATAATATGACAATTATAAGCGAATGCAACACGGTTGTCCTGTTAAGAAATCAAGAAAATAAGAAATTAACGTACACGTTATTCGTGAAAGGAAGAAGCCCAACAAATTTGAATTGACTAGCGGGTGAGAACGATAAGAAGATGAGGCAAGGCTATAAAGCATTTGCAACTGCTCCCAGTCAATCAATTACTAATCAATTAAAGATTTCATGAAGTAATTTGTTTTCATTCCTTTAAAGCATCTTTCGTTTCAACTTTCCCCCCTCATATTGCCATGCGCAGAGGGCAAAGTCAGAGAGAAAGAGAAAGATTGATAACAACACTTCTATCCCTTTTTTACCTTTAAAACATTCCAGGCTCATGTGTTTTTATGTGTCATGAATTCTTCATTCAAAATATTTTTTTACGTTACCTCTTAATATCACTTCTTCCTTCTAGAAGTAAGCCCAGAAAGTTCATTCCCTTTTTTTTTTCTATGTTTTTTCCTAAATTATCTTTTATTTTTTTTAATATTTCGCAAATTATTTTTTAAATATTTCGCAAATTAGAATTCCTTGCTATCATTGGACAAGCTGCCAATTTCGCGACTGAAGTTCGCCTCCTATTTTACTTTAGACTTTTACTTGAATCACTAACTCCTGTAACTTGTCCTCACATATGCGTTTTACTTTTTTTGTTTTTCCAAACTTGGCGTGCTGCAATCGACAAATGGAAATGTAGGGGAGAAGAGGTTAAGTGATTTCTAACCCTCTGTAATCATTAGAGAAAATTACAAAAAAAATCTTAAATCTATTGCAATTGTGTCAATTCAGTTTTATTTTTTTGGCCAATTGAGTCTTTTGAATTTGTGTCAATTCAGTTCATTCGGCCAATTTTGGCCGGAAATCACTAACATGGACGTCAACCGTCCTACGTGGCGCAACAGGTGCTGACATGGACAATATTAAACATTTTTTCAAATTATTTATTTATTTTTCTTTCTTTCTCTTTCTTTTTTTTTCTTTCATTCTTTTTCTTCCTCTAGCTGATCGCTGGACCTTGGTGATCGACCAGAGGCGAGGGTCAGCAAGGTTGGGTGAAGCTCACCCCTCACCAGCCATGAGCAAGGCATGACCTCGCTAGATCCGACGAGGTCGAGCCTTGCCTAGTTATGGCAAGGATCGCCCTCTCCATCGCTGGTGAGGTTGACCTCACGGGCCCTTGCCTCTAGCAGGTTGTCAGACCTCTAGTTGGTCACCAAGATCCGGCGACCAGCTAGAGGAAGATAAAGAAGGGAAGAAAAAAAAAAGAGAAAGAAAAAAAAAGAATAAAAAAATTCGAAAAAAATATATATTAAAATATTATTAAAAACTATCCACGCCAGCTCCAATTGCGCCACGTAGGACAACCGGTGTCCATGTCAATGATTTCAGGCCAAAATTGGATGAATGGACTGAATTGACATAAATGTAAAAGGTTTAGGACTCAATTGGCTCAAAAAAAGTTTAGGACTGAATTGTCACAATTGAAATAATTTTAGGACTTCTTTTGTAATTTTCCCGTCATCATTGAATATCTAGCATTTTTAGATACTTCCTTTTTCATTGGCTTACTGATATTTCAAGAGTTAGAATGATATGCCAAATTGGCAACGATTTTGTGATAAAAGAATAATCTGGAAAAGGACTCAAGTAAGGTATACAAGTTTTTTTAACAAATACTCACGCATTACGCTCCTTTGGTGTCATCTAACAAATTATAACTCTATTCTACTAAGAAGATAACAGAAAAAACATATTTCATTCGAGTGGGTAAAAAGGGTAGATTAAGTACATTAGAAATCAAGAGGTTCTGTAAACGACGCGGTGGTTGACTCAATCATAAGGGTTTAAAAGTCCTTTTTCTAAGAGAGCAAAATAGTCTGCACAGGAATTAGCAGCACATAGACACCAACTGAAGGTTTAAAACTGGAAATTCACGAGCCAGCTGTAAGCAATCTTTAACCAGATCTGAGATCTACCATTGGGACACTAACCTGCTAGTCAACGAGTTGAAAAGCACTTGCAAATCTGTCTAAAAAATTAGGGGTTTCATTATGGTGAGATTTCAACTGAGAGAGAGCCTCTCTTACAAGGTGTTTACGCCAAAAATAGTCGAGCCATTGACATGGACAGACACGTGCTTTCGACATGAGCATAAACAATCACGGGAAAAACACGTTAGCATACATGCAACATTTTATCGACGGAGGTGATTGGCATCTTATCGACAACCATAGAAATTCATAATTGATTCCAACAAACATCCGTATTCAACTGTCAATATGCAGTGATTGAAGAAAAACATGAAATTTGCAAAGTTTTTGGAAGACACACAGACATAGAGTCATAGCTATTAGTTAAGGAAAAATAAATGGGATGATAGAAGCCACCAGCAGATGCCAAGAACATTGGAGTATGACCATAGAGTTGGAAACCGGCAAAGAAGTTGAAATCAAAGAGGAATGAACTGACACTTAGGGTGCGAATGATAACCATTCTGCTCCAGAAATCAAATTCTTGCCAGAAATTGATTTCTGGAGGAGAAATCTGTTTAGTAAAACATAACTAATTCTGCTCCAGAAATTGATTTCTGAAACAGAAATCTGTTTTGATTTGTTGATTTTTTTTGTACCTAAAAAAATTAAAATTTTACTCAAAGTGGGTGGCCACAGGTATTATAAGCCATTTTATAAAGTTTTGAAATTTTTGATTTTTAAATTTCTTTTGGGCAACTAAAAAAATTTAAATTTCACTCAAAGTGGGTGGTCACAGGTACTCTATTTTGTGAAGTTTTGAATTTTTTTATTTTTTTGGGCATCTCAAAAAATTTAAATTTTACTCAAAATGGGTAACTACAGGTATTCTAAGCCATTCTGTGAAGTTTTGAAATTTTTTTTATTTTTTATTATTTGTTGGGCACCTCAAAAAATTTAAATTTCACACAAAGTGGGTGACCACAGGTATTTTAAGCCATTTTGTGAAGTTTTGAAAATTTTTGTTATTTTATTATTTTTATTTTTTTGGGCACCTCAAAAAATTTAAATTTCACTCAAAGTAAGTGGCCACAGGTATTTGAAGCCATTTTGTGAAGTTTTGAAATTTTTGATTTTTTTTGGCATCTCAAAAAATTTAAATTTCACTCAAAGTGGGTGGCCACATGTGTTTTAAGCTATTTTGTGAAGTTTTGAAATTTTTGATTTTTTTTATTTAAAAAAATTCACCAAATTTCATATTTTCCCGAAATCTGACTTTTTTTTATTTTCTGGAAATTTTTATGAATTTTTCTAGAATTTTTCAATTTTTATGCATTTTCTGAAAAAAAATTTGTGAGAAAATAGGGAGAATGCATTCTGGAATCAAGAAGCTACAAAAAGTAGCTTCTCTTTTTCTTGCCAAAAACTCATTTTGGAATCAAGAATGCATTCTGGAATCAAGAATGTATTCTGGAATCAAGTATTTTTAACAAATGTATTTTTATTCTAGAATGCAAAAATCACTCCAGTATGTATTCCGGAAATATTTTAACAAACGCCATTTTGTTCCGAAATGAACAGAATTTTTATTCCGGAATACATTCCATGCGCACCATATAATTGAAAGTATGAACGAACTAACACTTAGGGAACAGAATTTCCAAAGAGGAACGAACTAACACTTAGGGAACAGTTTCTGCTTGAAAGTATGAACAACTGTCAAAGATAGATCATGGAAAAATAAAGTCCAACGATTCCATCTATACCATATAATTATTTCTCAACTTTGGAAATAATTGCTCATGATTCACCATACTTCACAATTGGAAGCTCGATTGTTGCAAAACATAGTTCTTCAATTTGGAGCACTATTTTTGCTAAAGGTTTCTAATAGTAATTCCTTAAAACTTTGGAATGTAAAGAAATTCGAAAATTTTGATGGGTCCAACACTTATGGATGATATGTGAATTTCATTAAATAATTGGACATAAGCATAATTTCAGAAAGTTGGCTGGGCCAGGGCGGGAGAAGAACTAAAAAAGGAGAAAACTCCGAAGGGAAAGGGGAAAATATAATACCGAGATAGTTAATGAGAGGAGGTTAGTGAATTGAAGATATGAAGAAGAAAAATAGAGAAAACCATGAGTAATGGGGGCCAGGAAAGAGATATGGATGACACATTTAGCAAGAATGGTTAAGGAAGCCTATCATTATTAGGGTAGATCTCACTTTCATTGGGAGAGAGCGATACACGCTTGCAGAGAGAGATAGAGTTCACCTTTTCATCTTTTTATATTTCCAATTCCTAAATAAATTTCCTATTTTTAATGCCTTATCGATTTGATTGTCGTTTCTATTAATTTTTTTTTCCTTTACGATTGATTACGAATATTAGGTTCTAGAGTTTATGAATATTAGTGATCAGTGCTCGATAGAGGCATAGATAAAAGATGTTTACATTGAAACACCGACCAATGGCATAGTTGAAACAGATATTGAAATATTCTTAGATGATTTGGGTGCATTCGAGCCCTTGATATTGGTAGGTTCCGCATGAAAACAAATGATTCAAGATTGGGGATGCATTGAACTTATATGCACTCGATGCATCCAAGGATGCCTCACAAGATATGAGCATCACCTATTCTTACTTTAGTTAATTTTGGCATCTGAGCAATGTTTATAACTCGTAATTCAATAATCGGAGACATGGTTAATGGAAATCTCCTTCAGTAAATAATCTAACTGCACACAACCAGAGATAAGGATTAATCTTTTTTTTTTTGGTCCGTGCGCGGACGCAACCCAACGATATTTTCTTGACAAGAGGCAGAGGGCGACGTCCAAGTCAATAACTTTTATTATTGAGTTTTTTTTAATCAATAAACGCCCTGTACTCGTTTATTGGAAAGAGAAGATGCGCGTTGCATTCTGAATCGTTCAAAAAGCATATGCCCTCCACCCAGAAAGCATATCCTCTGCATCCAGCCTTGTCATTTGTTTATCTATTATCTTTTTGTGCAGCGGGAAGACTTCTTCTCTTCGTTAGACATATTGATATTCATTACTTTTCAGAACGCATCGTGCTCTGTACCCAGAAAGCATGTGCTCTCCACAGAAGAAGACAACTTAATTTCTGCCAGTCTATGCCAGCAATAGGCGTGCCAGTCGACCAACAATATAATTCATTTCTCACTCTCTCCGTCTCTCACATTCGGCCTCTCTCAGAGCAATTTTGGAGAGTATTGTCTGCTGATTGGTCCTCGCTCGCTTTCTTTGATCTTTTCCCCACTTGAAGGTTCTCGCCTAGGCTTGTTTACGTTCTTCTCTCCCCGATCTTGCAACTCTCTTCGCATCTCAGCTCGCCCAAGGTAATCGCCTTCTCATCTCTAATTAGTGTGTTGTTTCCATTGATTCTTTGCTTTGTTATCGGAATATTGGGCTGAATTAGTGTGTTCTGGGCTCTTTTTGTCTGTTGGGGATGTGGGTGGCTGCTAACGGGGTAGGTCACCAGCCCATTATTGACTTCCGTGAAAAAGGGAAGCCTTTGCTTTCAACTTTAGATGTGACTAATCTTGTGGCCTCTCTGTCTGATTGTTCGTTTGCATCGTAATTCAGTGTCGATCCTTTGTTAAGCTAGAATAAGTTGGAATGCTTGCTTGCAAAATTGCCAGTATTAGCCAGAAACCAAGGACCATATCTTTATGGATCGTGAGGTTTCGCTGTCTCTGAAGGTCTAAGATCAATTAAATGAAAAAATGAAACAGAAAAGAAAAAATAGTAGGCCGGTTCCGGCTGGTTCCAGGATCAATCGGCTCGATTGTCAATTCCAAAAATTGAAAATCGGCTCTGATAGGGTAGATTTCAGGGTCTTGGTCCGGAATCTACACACTCTGGAACCAATTACCCATAAAAGCAAGTACTCTCTTAACCGGATTTTATTGGACAATTTTGCCTCCCTATAGAACATTCCAAACAAATAATATGTTGTCTTCCTCGAATTATTGGACAAGATAAATCCTAAAAAGTATATTCCCTTTCACCTCCAACTCATTTTCTCCCTTCAAAGCTTTGAAAATTGAGTAGTAAAAAAGTTAAATGAGTAGTAAAAAAGTTCACATACAAAAACGACAATAGCTAATATGAGAAGGTTTGAGTATTTTTAACTCTATTGCTACTTTTTCGAACAAAAAAAAATTCTGTTGCTAATTTTCACCTGCTCATTTGGTGTCATTTAACAAATTATAGCTTTATTTTGCAAACAGTATCTCAATCAATATTTTAAATTTGAAAGTTTGAAGTGAAAAGCTTGGTGATAATGTATCATAGATTCGTTTTATATAAAATTGCTGGCATGTGGAGTCAGCATTGAATAAATAAGAGAGAAATGACAACGGCCATTTGGTCATCTCTACCTCTCATTTTTCAACTTCATTAAGAATTTGCTAGACATGGCCAGCTAAGCGAGCACGCAGTCGAGGCAAGCACGAGCTGAGATGAAGCTAGTCGAGTGAAAAAGGAAATGGAGAGAAAGGAAGAGAGGGAAAGTCAAAATTCCTCGAAATATGTTTGGATACATGTCGAGTGGAAATGATGTGAATGGAAGTTAATTTCATTGATAGACTTGATTATCCTTCATTCTATTCTTTCTTAAAAAGAAAGTAAGGACAACTTTGGAAGAAAAGTGCAATAGTTGCATGCCCTTTCATTTCTATGCACTTTTAGAAAGAAATAAAATGTGGCCCAAAAGGAAATATTTCCCTTTTATTTGAAATCATTTTCATCAACTTTCTTCCTAATTTGAACAGCCGAACAATTGAAATTTTCTCGATTATTAGTTTAACTTTAGTTAATTTTACTTATGAGCGATGTTTAAAACTTATAAACCCACCAATTAAAGACACGATTGATGGAAATTTTCTCCAAATGGGAAAATGCAAGCATTTGGGCAACAATTACATGACACTACTTTACTTTGGCCAATGGAAATGGGGTTAGACAGAAAGGGTTGGGAAAATGAGGTGGTGGAGATCGTGAGGTTTTTTTGTATATTAGGCTAAAAATAATAAGAGCAAGGTCGAAGATTATGAGAAGGATTAGGTGTCGTGTGAGCTTATATCCTGAGGAAGATGCTTCCATGGATTTTCCTACATAATTTCTAAATCTTAGGTGTGAAGTAAAAAAATCTGTCTCGAAATATCATAGAAGTGTGTGAAGTTATGTAGTAATAAAATATATGTTTTCGTTTGATTACTTCTTTCAATCTTTTGTGGCTTTTTGAACAAGTAAATGATGTGGGCTTTTTGGGGGCCTCTTTTGGGGCCATCACCGAATCTTCCACAGTCAAACCACGTTGGTCAACCGAACTGAAGGCCGTATCCCTGTTACCCCTCTCTCTCTCACCTTCTTCAGCATTTTCAAGGGAAGAACTTAACAGTACCCGTTATTCGTGAGTGGACCAAGCCAACAAGTTTGACTTGACTAGATGATGCGGCCCAGAAGAAGATACGGCAAGGACTATAAGCATTTGCAGAAAAGCATTCTAAAAGCATCTTTAGTTCGTCAATCCTTTTGAGCAACAGAAGAGCATCTTTCGTTTCAACTTTCCCTCTCAGATTGCCATGGACAAAGGACAGAAGAGTGCAGAGAAAGAGAGCACTAAGAGAGCATCCACTTCTTCGTTCATCTCTCCGGTACTCACAGATGTAGGTAGTAGTCAATATGACGTGTTCTTGAGCTTTAGAGGTTCGGATACCTGCAAGGCATTCACTGATCACCTCTATCATAGTCTGGTCAAGGCAGGGATTGTACCGGTTTGTGTGTTCAGGGACGATAACAGCATTTCAATTGGCGAGGAATTTGGTTCACAGATTCTCTATGTCATCGCAAGGTCTAAGATTTCGATCCCCATCATCTCGGAAAATTATGCTTCGAGCAAATGGTGCCTCCACGAGCTCATTCATATCATGGACCACAAGAAGAGCACTTCACACATGGTCTTGCCCATCTTTTACAAAGTGGACCCATCGGATGTGCGGTATCAGAAAGGAAGTTTTGGGGAGGCCTTCCATTCACGTAAGAAGCATTTTGATGAGAAGGATATTCAGGAAGGGCGGCAAGCACTTAGAGCAGTGAGTGACTTACATGGATGGGAATCCGAGAAAGTTGCTAACGGGTACTTCACAAAACGTTTTTCTTTTTTTGATAAGTAAGTTTTCTTCTTCACGCATAACTGATGAAATGCAGATGTATTACTTTCACTGCTAGCTCGGAAAGGATCCCCAAAATGTCCCAATAATGCCTCGAAGACTAGCAAACACTAGTACTTCTCAATATGTCCTGAAAACTAAAGCAACGACAACTTAAACCAAAGATCTATATTCGTCTCCGGTACAGAGCAAAAAACGAAAGAAACAACCTCTCCAGCCAATAGTATCAATCACTAAATAATATGCCTAGAAAAGACTCCAATGCTCGGTCTTGATCACTACCAGATATAATAGACGTCATTATGCCCACGGATCGGCTCGGCTGATAAGAACGAACACTTCACATTTACCATGTTTGGGTTTGATTTCCAATGCCAGTAACTCCATTGGTAGGTGGTCTTGGGGTAACCTCCTCTTCTCCTAAAATTTTTTAACCAAAAAAATTAAATAAAATTGAACTCCTATCTTTCAACCGGCAGCAACCTTAATCCTTATAACGAACATTATAGTTCGAAAGACTCTTCATGAGCCAGGTGCACCGCCTTATTTTATTTCAAAAAGATCAATCTATTGGCATAAAAGGATAGGGGGAAAAAATGAAATGACCGCTACACCATCTTCCCCCGTTGTTAATTGTAAAACCAAAACAGCTTGCATGTCAATTGGTCCCATGCATCCTTAAATATATGCCGGTCTTTTGATGAGATTAAGTATAATAACGAATTTATCATTGAGTTTTGTTGTTTGACAGGGATAAAGAAGAATTAGTGGAAAAAGTTGTCGAAAATATTCTGAGCAAGATGCGACAAGATTTTCAGGTTGATGTTACTAAGCACTTAGTTGGAATTTGGGATCATGTGAACAAAATCAGGAATTGGGTTGACACTCCTACCAGTGTTGCTCGAATGATTGGAATCTATGGCATGGGTGGGATTGGAAAAACGACTCTTGCCAAGGTAATCTACACTCAGTTGTCGAATGACTTTGTGCATCGTAGCTTCCTTGCTGATATTCGAGAAATTGCTCACCGCAACAATATTCCTTCTCTACAAAAACAACTAATTAAGGACGTACTGCAAATTGAATGTCAAGTGGGGGATGTTGATGATGGAATTGATATAATCAAATCTAGATTCAAAGGAAAAAAGGTTCTCATTCTTCTAGATGATATAGATGACAAGAATCAACTAGATGCGTTGGCTGGGGACCGTAATTGGTTTATGCCAGGAAGTATGATCATTGTTACAACTAGAAATGAAGCTGTTCTTCATCAGTCTAAATTCGAGGTTGACTACAAGTATGAATTGTATGGATTGGATAAGGTGCAAGCTTTGCTTTTGTTTAACAAACATGCATTTCGCATGGACCATTCTCCAAGGGACTTTGAGGGTATATCTCATGATATCATATCCACCATGGGTGGGCTTCCCTTGGCACTTCAGTGTGTAGGTTCATTCTTGTATAAAAAAACAAATCGAAAAGTATGGGAAGATGTGCGGAAGCAATTAAAAAACCAACCACATGGTGATGTCAAAAAGATATTGCAAATAAGTTATGATGCATTAGAAGATGAACATAAGCAGATTTTTCTCGATATTGCTTGTTTCTTTATTGGTGAAAAGAGCAAATTCGCCATGTACATGTGGGAGGATTGTGGGTTTCATCCAAGTCAAGGAATTGAAGAGTTGAAGTCAAGGTGCTTAATTAAAATTGGAGATGATGGTACGTTTAAAATGCATGATCAACTAAGAGATTTTGGAAGGAGCATAGTTTGCCAAGAAAGATTGCCAGAGAGACGTAGCAGATTATGGGATGACGAGGAAGCCTCTGGAGTTCTAATGGGAGGAAAGGTAACATATGGCCCTCCTTCTTTTTTCCCTCTCCCTCGTATTTTCCTTTACTTAATCAGATCTATTCTAGTCTTTTATCTGGTATGAACATATGCTCCTAGTTTTTATGGAAAAATTCCATTCATGATTCATGCCCATCATAGAGTAAATGCGACAACTAGTTGTATTACAAGTTTTGAGGATGAAAAGGTTATATTATCTCGTGATGGTTACCCAGTAGAATATTATTCCAATTTATTGATGTAAATTATATTGGCCAAAACTTTAATTTTACAATAAACGTAAAATCACTGAACTACGATTCTACACTAAAAATATTGTTTACTTAAAGTATGTCATTTTCATATTTAGTTAGAAAGATTGATAAGACTGAAATAATAAATAGAGATGCAGTATAAACACAATAGATCAGATAAATGAAGATTTCTTTGTCCATAGGAATAATAGATAATAGGTGCCAATTATAGTAACTAATAATCAAAGAAAACATCAGCATTGAAATTAAGGTGTCAAATTCACACTTATCACGTGTTCCTGCTTTCTAGCACGGCCAAATCCGCTGCGGTGCTCCTATAGTTTTTTTTTTTTTTTTATAGTTTAGGAGCCCAATGTTTGATATGTTATTGCTGCATTTTAATTTTGAAGGTAGCCGACCCTCCCTGCACTAGTTATATCTATCTTTAACCATTTTTCTTTCGTCTTAATAGATATGATAGCAAAATCGCCATTATAATTGAATTCAGAAAATCTTATTATTGTATGTAAGGCTGTATCAGGTTGACCTTGTTCATCTTGCGGATTGGGTTAGGTGTATGATAAAGAGTGAATTTTCCCATTTCTCTTTGTTTGTTTCCTTCATTGCTATTGCCCTTTCCTCTCAACTTTTCTTAATAAACATTTCTTTCCTCTCAAACTCTTTACCGCGACCTCGCTCAAACCCTTCTATCCTTAATGCCTCTTGTCGGCCATTCGGTTTCTTGGAAAACTTCCCATGGATAAGGGTAGCTCCACTTTCTGGAAACTCCTCCTATTTTGTTAGGCGATAAGCTCCGCTTTGACACGTTTCTAGACTAATGTGGGTATCAGTTCCACATGCATCCTTATGTTTCGCATGCATCAGTTGTCTCATGCTATACTTGCCACATATATCTTCTGACACCTGTTTATACCATTCTTTTATGGAGGAGATTTCGCTTTTGATTTCTCCATTTAAATTACTTGAAATTCAAATTACGATAATAATTTGAATCAATTTTAAATGAATCCACGAGATAATGTTGTCGTTTAGCATTTACAAGCGAACACCATCCGTAATCTCTACTATCCACTTTCCAAATATGGTTAGTCAATTGTCCAACAAAACAAATAAACACGTGCTTTGCTTATATATAAAGAGGGAATTGCTCATCATTTGAAACTTCATTTGGTGTGTACTCCAATCCAGTTTTAGTTGGTCTTAAAGCAACTTTCTTTTCCAATTTCCGCCAAAATCGAAAATATTAGCCAAACTCCAAGAACTGTATTGCTAACAAATGTCACCACTCGCTGTTTACACATCCTCTATAAGTAAAGTTTCGATTTTCAAAGCAGTGATTAAACACTTCACAAATGAATTGATAACCGGGTGGTTCCTTAGCTACTTAAGAAGTGACTCATGGGCACTCTTTAACAGATTCTTTTAAAAAATTAAGAAAAATAAAATTCTACAAGTCCGTCTTGGTATGTTTTAAAAGGTTTCATGTATTTCGCCTTGGATAAAAGTTAGAGTGCATGCGCTATAAAATTCGAAAAAGCATAAGGTAAGACATTGAGGTGTGTTTGTCTAAGATTTTATAAAGCAAGAATTATTTTCTTTTTACTTTTAAGCCAAATGTAACATCTTGTTCAAATTTCAGAAGATTGTCAAAAAAATTTAATTTGTGTTCACGTGTGTGTGTGTATATAGAAAGATTGACAAATTGTGTGATTCCAAGATTTAGAAAAGCGAAAACAAAAAAATCCAGACACTCAGTGATTGATTTGATATACAGGGACCTTATACGATTGAGGCAATTTGTCTCGACAAATCCGATGACCATCTCCAGACATACACAAATGAACAGTTTGAGAACTTACAGAGCTTAAGGTTCCTTAAATTAAGGCGGGCGGCTCTAAGTGGAGACTTTAATAGACTGTTTTTTGAATTAAGATGGCTTCAGTGGTTTGGCATTGAACTCGATATGCCTTTTTCGACAAAGAATTTGCATCTACCGAATTTAGTGGTGATGCAGTTGTCAAACAGCGAGATCACAGAACTTTGGGGAGGATGGAGTTCAATCATGGTAAGATGGAAAAAAGACATCCTCTGTGATTTCTTGTTTGTTTTGCTTTGTTGATCAACTCATTTTTTGACTGCTTATTCTCTTTTGTATAGTTGGCAAAGCGGCTGAAAGTTCTTGACCTTACATGTTGCAAATATTTAAGCCGTACTCCTAATCTCTCGGCTTTCACAAAGTTGGAGATACTCATCTTGAAACATTGTGATGGACTGGAGCAAGTCGACCCTTCTATTGGTGAAGTCAAGAGCCTCATTTTCTTGGACTTGAGTGACTGTGGCAGTCTCAAGGAGCTACCAGGAGAAGTGGGCGAATTAGTGAAACTAAAAGAACTTATTTTAGATTCTACCGGTATTATTGAGATTCCTACATCGATTGGTTCTTTGAGGAAGTTGGAGAAACTGAGTGCCCACTTTTGTCGGTCATTGAGAGAAATCCCAAACTCAATTGGGGATTTACAGAATTTGCAAGATCTGGACATTAGTCATTCTGCGATTGAAAAATTACCTGGTGCTATTGGAAGGTTGAAAAAACTGCAGAGGCTAAGTCTCAAATTCTGCTATAGACTGAAAGGGGAAATTCTAAGTGAAATTGGTGACTTGTATTCACTCGAGATACTTGATATCACTAGCACACGGATATTTAACCTGCCAAAAAGCATCCGTAATCTTTCTTCTCTCCAACACCTTAGTCTATGGGGCTGTTACGAGCTCCGGTTGCTGCCAGAGCTTCCTTCCGGCTTAACAAATTTGTCAGTCTCTTGTCAGAGTCCCACATTGTCACAGCTTTCTTGCCTAATCCACCTAGAAGAACTTGATCTTTATAAATGCACTCTACTTGAATACATCCCGGAGCTTCCCTCAAGACTCTTGAAACTTTGTGTTGCCTCCTGTCATAAGCTGATATTGCCAAAGTTTGAAGCATTCAAGTACTTGGAAGAGTTGTCAATAAAAAACTGCAGTTCCATTAAAGGTTTGGACCTTTCAATATTAAGTTGTCTGAAACGGTTACATGCCGAGGATTGCTATAATCTAGTTGAAATTCAGAGCCATGATAATTTGGAGTTCTTGGAGGAGATAGTTATAGATTGCTGCAAGTCCATTGAAAGGCTGATCCTTCCGGAATTACAGTGTTTGAAGCAATTAAAGGCTAACTATTGCGACAATCTAGAAAAAATCCAAGGTCTTGGTAAGGCGGAGTTCTTAGAGGTGTTGGATATCTCTGATTGTGAGTCCATTAAAAGACTACCTGACCTATCATGCTTCGTGACCCTGAAAGAGTTGAACATCAATGGCTGTTGCAATCTACGTGGTGTTGAGAGCCTCGAGAGATTCTTGTTTTGCCGAAGCATATACATCACGGGATGCCAATCCCTAGAAAAACTACCAAACCTGTCGAAATTTGAAAATTTAGAGAATTTCACAATGAGATATTCGCTTGGTGTTACGGAGATTCCTGGGGTTGAGGAATCAAGATCTCTAACACACATAGATATTACAGGATGCAAATCAATGGAAATTTTACCAGATTTGTCGAGATGTGATAAGTTACAATCTCTAGTGGTACGAGACTGCAAGAAACTGGCTCAGCTTCGGGGACTTGAAAAGTTGGATTTAATTTATTTGGATATTTCTGGGTGCAATTCCTTGGAAACAATACCAAAATTACCAGAAACATGCGTCTTTAGAAATTATGAAAGAGCGCAAGATGAAGTTCCTGATGGAAATATTATACTGCAGTGATAATGATGTGATGAACCGTATATCCATATTACAAGAGTGAGATGAGTCATGTTTCCTTAACAGAGGTAAATTACCAGTAAACTATCATTTTTCTTCTGAGATTCATGATCCGCTTTTCATCACTATCTTCTTTTGACAAGAAGGGTTTTCCTTGATAGGGTTCTGGACCTTCCAAAATTCCTACTCATACATAATTGAAGGAGTGAGGAAGTTGGTTGTAGAAGCTGACATGATGCTTCAACCAAGATCAATAGGCCCGAATTTGGGTCTCCGAACAACAGAAGGCATTGGTCATCTAGTAAGATTTTTCATCCTTTATCGGCCAACTTGAGCAATTAGAGTAATACTTTTCTGGAAGCTATACTTCTTAAGAATGATTTGCTCCACACTGGGTATCTATTTGATTGATTTTGGAAACTCTGAATTTGCCTAAGTACACTTGTTAATTGCATTATAACTATGTTTCTTAATTTATCCTTCATTGGCAGCTTTGGCAGACTGCAAACCGATTTGCAGCTTGTGAGGCAGAGAATATAAATATGAATATAGGTAAACAAGAAATACCTAGTGATTTACAGTTTCCTTCTCAGTAAACCAAAGATTTGAATTTTTCATCTAGAGGTGATGATCTTTTGCTACTGAGCCTAGAGTCCATTTTTCGCTTTGTCTGAATTAATGTTTCATTTGAAAATATTTTTGGCGATTTTGAATTCCTTTGCGAGTTCTTTTGTGTGTTAAATTTGACTAGTGGTAGGAATCCTGTTTAGAACAAACAACCCTATCAAGTTTCTTATTGTTCCCTTGATGTTCCTCTCGAACCTTCCAAGATGAGCACGAATTCCCAACAAGTATAAAAAAAATGGAGCTAAAATAAAAATCAAGGTTCAAGTATTCCTGGTTGATGATAAGAAAAATGAAATGTAGTTTTGGCTAGTCTGTCATAGATGACAGTAGACCAGCTTTATATAACCAGTAGTCAATTAGAAATATTATCAAGCAAGGTAAACTAGTGCTGCTTTTGTGACAGGTCTGATTAGTCTATGTAACAATGAAGGCTTACTTTTGGACTTCGATTCATTGAGCTGTATCAATGACCTATTGCATGATTGGGACAATTTTTTGCCCGTTCAGTGAAACAATCTTGGGCGAGAGCTCAAGAGTTTGCTAATTAGTTTGCATCCCATTTGATCCTGTTGTTTTCATGGAATCGTTTTATCACATGATTGACTTGGGTCTGGCTAACTTGGCTCTGGAACTTCAAATTCCACAAAAGAGACTAATCAAAATGAAGAAGAGGGACTTTGCAGAGGAAGCATCAGCAACAACTGAGGGCCATTTTGCATGCCAACCTTGAAGAGGCTCGTGGGTCAACTAAAGTCCCTGAGGAAGTTTTGACGCTTGTGAAGATCCAAACACTTGATCTGGTCTCAACAGCACGTACCTGAATGATTATGAATGTAGTTTTTTCAATTGAATCTGCATTCCATATGGTCATTAGGTTCTACCTTTCTGTTAATCAAATATGTACGTGCTGATTTTCCGTATGTTACTTTGATGCAGAGTTGTTTGATGTGGTTGTGATTTAATGATGTCACTCCCAAACTTGATGAGTCTCTGCAGAGGGAGGTATGCACTGCCAATCACACCATGACTATGAAAGACTAGCTCATGTGCTTCAACTGTATGAGCTGTGGAATTTTACCTGAAAATCAGTATACACAGATGCATGATGACGATCTCCCCCATTTTCCATCAGTTTATAAGTATGCTAATGTCCTTTGAATGTTGTCCTATAGGTTTCTGATTTGATAAGCTCAGTTCTCATGCATGCGGTGTTGAATTTGTAAAGTTGAAATTTGCCTCCTAGCAAACTATTCCGCATTGCTGATTGTGCCAATTGGATTGCGAGATAACCAAGTATTAAGTACATCTTTCTGTTCTGCAATTTAGGCACTTGACCGTTTCAGCATAATCTTATTAATACCAGGTCTGTTCCTAAACACAAACGAGGAAATTGTTGCTATTGCTTACTTCTCCCAAGTCTGTTGTTTTCCTTTTCATTGGCCAGCTAATGAAGTCTCTTTTGATTGCATTCCAACTACGAACTAATCAGACACCTGGAATGTGTGGCAAAACTTGTCCCCAGATTTTGATGTTGGTGCAAATGATGTTTATGCATTCGTACTTATCTTTCATGGGGTAGATAGCGCCACTGCGATCTTAAATATCTTCATTCACTAGTAATTAGTCAACATCATCCTTCTTGTGTAGATTCAAGCTGCATTTTATGAAATTCGGAGAAAGTCTCCAAACACCACAGGATGGAGATGCGTGCAGGAATGAGCCACGTCATGAGAAATTCTGGAAAGGCGGTCCAACGCTATTGGCGTTATTATGTGCTCCGTGTTATTAATACTCTTCATAGGATTCTTAGTCTAAATGGACCTCATCTCATGTGGTGTAGTAGTGCTTTGCAAGCTTTGACATCGTGCAATTCTTTAGCAAAGGCTGAATCTCAAATGCTTGCAGGAAGACCGCATGTGCAGGTAGTTCTGTATTTGAAGTTGAGCATAAAACTAATTTTGTTAACAAGATTATCTTTCAGATGTCCACTTCAAGCTCCACTTTTGTGACTGGAAGAAAAACTTCATCATGGAAAAGCGAATGTCTTGAAATCAGCAAATAAATTGTCAATTGCAGCCGAGAGGTTAAATGAAAGTTTTAATTAGCATATAAACATCTCTTCGGTCTGGTTACATCAGACAGAGCCATACATTTTCATACCTGAAACCAAATTTTCTTTGGCGTTGGATACAGTTAAAGACTGATAAAAAAATGTCGAGAATTTTTTTGGATAGGTGAAAATAGGCCCTCCGAAACTTCTTACTCATTTGGTGTGAACTGAAACTTTGTAGGGTCATTTAATTAGTTAATATTCAGACGCTACAAAGCCAAATTGTGGTCACCGGTCATGCATTCGAGTGTCAATCGAGGCAATTTCTTTGAGGCAATAACAATGGTGGAATTTTAATAGTTATAGTCTGATTCGCTTGCTGTCTACTTGATTAACTCAATTTTTCTAGAGCTCAAGACAAGTCCAAATAGCTTGTTGAGCCAAGATCGAACTTATAAATACTGAAGGATATATAATGCGGGTCATGTTAACGAGTCAATTTTCGGAATATTGGTTAGACATAAAACAAGAAAAGTCGCAAGCAAAGTAAATGTATTGACTGTACAATTTATTTGCTTAATTGCTTTCGATTGAGTTCTTAATAATTAGGAATCCTGTCATCCGGTGTCTAGCCATTTGTTGATGAAAATTGACAAACTAAAACTTTTTCTTAATTTACATTTTCACCTTTACATATGCATTTCACTGGAACAATGTGACATCCAGAAATTTTGTAATAATATGTATGTGATATTGGAAATTTTTCATGTTCAATAATGATACTTAGATTATAAAACTTAGTATTATTTAGCTTAGTATTTGTGTGGACGCATAGAAATTTTTATTAAACCGTAAATTTGCGAGGCGTGGAGAATGATTTTCGGGAACGTAATCGTTACGAGTTTGACGTATTTAAAATTTCTAAACATTGATGTGTACATTAATAGTAGTGCGATGTTAATTAATTTACCGTCGTCTTAGTAGTTGATGTGTGATATTATTAGTTTAAACTTTAGTTAATTAGTGATAATCATTAATAAATTGCTAATTGGTGTTCTAAAGGGAGGAACTTCTGTTTTTATTTTTAATTCCTCACAAAATCTCTCTTAAAGACACCAAGAACTCACATGACAATGGAAGGTTTAATGCATGGCCACATGCCACATTTGGAGGATTCAAGCATGTCACATGCCACTCTTAAGCTAAGCTTCTTACACTAATTTGACATAGCCATAAGCCATCATTACCTTGGCTATTAGTCATCCCTATATGTCTTGACTTCTCACACTTGGCCGTAGATTAAGTGAAGTTTGCCACTTGTGACTTCATGCATTCTTCTACCTAAAATCTATTCCTACACATCACTTTCATCTTAGTAACATCAAAGGAAATTTTTCATCTTGGCCGTAACTCCCTTTTTCACATTCAACTCTAAAAGATAATCTACTTTCACCACTACTCGATCCAAGGCCTACAAGGGGGGTTTAACTTTGGGTTCTTCAGATTTTGCGCGAGGTAAGTGAAGATTCTAGATGTTAAGTTAGTTCAATCTACTTAACACTTTTTATTTGGATGGTTGTGATATGCTATTTTGATGTGGTATAATATTGGTAATATGATGATCTGTGGATTTGTTTTGTTGGTCTCACACATGATAAAAATGTGTGTGATTTGTTTCCTTAAAGTGTGGTATAATTGGCAAATGCAATTGTTAAATCCGAACTTGGAAATGTCATCCTTGAGATGATTTTTAAATTCGTCTTGCTGGTTTTATGCATGTTTAAAAGGTAGTTGATCGTTTTACTTAAAGTGAAGTATATTTGGTGAGTGGAAATGATGAATCTGAACTTGGAAAAGTCATATTTGTAAGTTCAGACTTAACTGTCGTTCATAAAATCTATTAATTTCTTAACCGAGTAGACTTTGCTCTCTGAATCTGGACACATTGATTTCTGAACTCGAGTAGACTTTACTATTTAAAATCTGGATATATGTATTTCTGAACATGAGTAGACTTTACTCTTTAAATTTGGATATATGTATTTCTGAACTCGAGCAAACTTTACCCTTAAAATCTGGATATATGTATTTTCTGAACCGAGTAGATTTTACTTGCAGAATCTGAATTTATTTATTTCAGAACTTGAGTAGAATATACTCTTTAAAATCTGGATATATGTATTTCTAAACTCGAGTAGACTTTACTCTTTAAATTTGGATATATGTATTTCTGAACTCGAGTAGACTTTACTATTTAAAATCTGGATATATGTATTTCTGAACTCGAGTAGACTTTACTCTTAAAATCTGGATATATGTATTTCCTGAACCGAGTAGATTTTACTCTCTAAATCTGGATATGTGTATTTTTTTAACCGAGTGAATTTTACTCTCAAAATCGGTATATATCTATTTTTGAACACGAGTATATTTTACTATCAGAAT